TTTTTTTTTTTTTTTTTGACTAAATAAACTATGTTATACTACCCAGCGAGTCTAAAATGAATAAAACACTCGACAATAAGGAACTTTTGTCTCGTTTAACTCGACGATTCTGCATGAAGTGTTTTCTATGCGAAAGAATCTCCTTTGAGCCTTCTAGAGCCTTTGAGATGTATTTCATATATCAGTTTTTGTTATATTTCAACTTGAAAGTCATGAGCTCCTTTTATGCGTTGTTCGCTAGTCAGTTTGCGAAATCACAAGTATTAAATCCTCTGAGCGCAACAATTCTCCAATCCCTCCGTCATAAAACTTTAGTTTCTACTTAGCGAACGATTTTTCTTACTCTTACTTTTTGACCATGTTTTACAAACTCTTATTCTGTTTATTACAGTTAACGTAAAATTAGGAAATATTGAATTTCTCTATAGTTTTGTCAAATTGTCAAATTTATAGAAAAATGGAGTAATAACATCCTGCATAACAATATTGAAAAATTATAAATATTTTTAAATTTGTAAATTTGTAAAATCAAAAAAAAAAAGTTAATTAAAATATTTCAGGAATCTTTTCATTCTAACATTATTTTTATGATGTAAAAGGGCATTGTGAGACTACTTTTATAGTGTTGAAATTTTTATAATGTTGATATTTTAAGTAGATTTATCAACACTACATATTCATTTGCTTACATACAGGATGTCTCAATCTTTTGGACTAAATGTTTTCACGTATATTCTATTGAGACAAATTTAAAAAAAAATATATATTATATATCATTAGAGGTATTATTGAAAAGTTATAACAAAAAAACGATATACGAAATATATTAAGCTAGAAGTTATTGATTTGTATCCTCGATAAAAAAAATTAACTTCGTAGAAATAAATTGTACGAGAAATTTTGGGAGGTTGTAAAAAAGAGACTTCAAAAAAGAGAATCTTCAAAATCATGCTGAATTTAATTACGAAAAAAATTTTTTAGTGTCCATAAAAGCATTTAAATTTGCAAAATTTTCGACAGTTCGAAATGCAAAGTTTGATTTTATATGTGTTATGGTTTCATAGATTTTTTTAAGGCAATATCAACGACATGTATAAAGCTCGAAATAAGCTTCAAGATTGAATCTTAAAGTCTTTAATATCAATATTACACGATGCTCAAACTTTTGATGATGCTAAAACTAAATTAAAGATAACTGCCAAAGCTTTTAAGATTCATTCTATAAATAATACACGTCACTGCAACATTTGACAACCTATCAATGATGTATGAAACTCCTTAAGGTCTGAATCTTTAAGACTAAAATACAAGTTTTGGAAGTAAGATTGAAATTCTAAGATTTAATTCTCAAAGCTCTTAAAGTTAATCGCGTGAATAATATGTCACTATTATCGACATATATACATGACATTTATTAGATATAATCATTACGTTGTACAAAGATTGAGTCTCCAAGTTTAAGAGTTCGAGTATTGAGAACTTGAACATAATCAACAGCATTGTAATTCAAGATATTACATTTATCCTACAATTATCCTGTACTTGTTAATTAATGTGTGTACTTGTTAATTAATATGTATGTAGCTCGTTTGTCTTAATTACGGAAATGCACTCGGCATGTACTAGCATATTCCAGATTTCACACAGATCCTTCATATTGGATGCTTTGTCTCAATATTATACAAGAATTCGGGAATTATACTGAAATTTGTAATGGAATACAATTACTATTGAAGCTCTTTACATTTCATTTATACACTAACATATGCAGAAAATAGAATAAAAGAAAGAGGGAGATTGAAAAATTCACGAGACGAGATAGCATATTCAAT